GGAAGGGCCATTTCTGGCTTATTGACCGTCGTCAGCCAGTCAAACCCCGACCCAAGTGGTGTCCCACCCGAGCTCCGAACTCCTGGCCTTTTTTGATCCACGTCAAACACCCCAACCATTGAGCCACGAACTCGTTGTCTCGCCGGTTTAGGTCAGGTAATATTGACACTAATGGATGAACGTTCACCTGACTGCTAACAGAACGCATCCATCGCATCTCGAATTGCTGACAGTGCCCTCTGCGCAGTGAGTGAGTATTTGGAACATCTCTCGGATAAACGTATAGCCAATTAAAATGCAGGAAGAATGACGAACAGACTAGCAGGCGTTTCAACGTTTTTACGAATTGTATTTATTATAATATTATTTTAGATAGTACATCTAAATTATTTAAAAAAGGAGATGGTGGTAAGGAGGTCGTCTACTTCAAATTACCTGCGGTCTAATTTTCCGTTCTGGAGTTAGTTTAGTTTAGTCCGCATGCAGATTTAATTTATATGCGAAATAAGAAACAGGTGTTTTCTTCGAGATTTTTGGAAATTTCACGACAAATACAAAAATTAAAGCACCTGCCAATATATTGCACGGTCATACCACACGTTCAATGGTTAAAATTACCCGCCACGTTCGTCCAGATGGGGTTTCTCCTCTGCGCACGGTTTCCTGGCAGTGTTTGCAAGTTCGAGCAAGAACTTACCCCACTCTCCCCCTCCCTCCGAAACGGGTCACGTCTTGGTAGTTGCCCACGCTGAAAGCAAGACGAGCCGTGAATGGATTGAAATCTAGACCTCGGACTGCAACTTAATGAATCTGTCTGTCGATCTGGCGCTGACGTGCAGATTTCTGTGCAGTCACGCCGATGTATGCGTCATGGATCCTTATTTGGATTGTACCCCTTCTTCTGTTCAAGCTGATATCCCTGATGACGGCCTCCCGCATGGCTTCCACAGCTTATAATAATAAGTCAGTTTGTTCGGTGCTCAAGGAATCTGTTCTTTTCTTTGTTCAAAAAAATCAAGAACTTGAACATTATAATACTTTCATGAAGGAGTCAATTGATTTTCGTCATATATAGCTCACTTTAAATTTTACTACAGCCGTTGAAAGCGTTAAGAGATTGAAAGTTACTACATAAGGTATGACTCAAAATTCAGAGTGTATACTACTACTACTACTTTATAAAAAAAACTTAAGTGTTTTGCGTTCACAGAGTTAAACTACCGACCGTATCTCACGTGATAGGCGTTTGCGAACCTCCAAATTGCCACCCATGTTGTCATCTTAGACAACACCAAGTCGCCTTTTCTCCGTTCTTTCATCTCTTTGAGCGGTAAGGTCAAAGCTCGCCCCCCGTCGC